GATTCAGTATAGTTACAGCTCTAAGATAGAAGCTATTCTTCAGCCTATTTGTCCTCGTTTTCATTATCCTGTACCATCTGCCAGATGGTAATAGTTCAAAAAAAGAATGTCCCAGCATTTGGAGTACTATTGCAACATAAAACATTATATGCCACATTAAACCACAAAGAAACATGAGGAAGATTGTGGCAACAGAAATATGGTTGTGACACATGGGAACTTGACTTGGACATCTTGGCTAATACTTTTTTTTTTCTTTTTTTTTAGGAAATAATAATTCCAAAATTGACTCTGAAATTCAATGTTGAGACAGTCATGTAAATGCAAGATGGACCAAACATGATACAAGCCAATTGCAATAATATTGATAAATTAAGAAGAAAAGAAGAGAAGGAGACACGTCATTTGATATATGAATTTGACATTGAGACAGGTTTTAATAATTTTGGATGTCCTCATTCATTTGAATTGTATTCTTAATACACGGAAATTGATGGCTGGACTATAAAATAGAAATGGATTCTCGTGCACTTCTAATTTCTAAGGGACAGGTTGTTCAACAGTGGAAAAATAAATTTTTGGCCCAATTATTCAGGGCCTGAAAGCCTGATATTACTTGTGCCCTAAGAGTGAGCTGCTTACACACATGAACAATGTATGGGTGATTATGATAAAATATGACCATACTTTATGGAATTATTTGTACAGACATCTATATCCATGTTTGTGTGTGTGTGTATTTTTGTGTCTATATTTCTGTGTGGGTGAGAGAGAGCACATACCTTTGAATCCATCTAGACTCCTATCTGATATATGCACAAGTCCATGGCTTCTCTTGGCAACAATTGGACCCCCAGTTTGTAGCCCATTTCTTGTCCTGTCCTGTCCATTATGTTTAATTAAATAAATAAAGGGAAGGAAAAATGTCTGCAAATGACTTTCTCGAAAATGGATCAAAAATTAGACCAGGAAAATTCTTCTATACCCTGCTATACTAATTTTTCTCCAATTGGATATAAAAGTCACCTGCTGGCAATTATTCCACAGATAGATGGTGAGTGAAGGGGTTATATCAAGGAGAAAAGGCTATGTAAGTTCAGAGAAGTTGCAAGAACTGACTGGATATATTGATATTGGGCATACCTACATGGAACAGGTAAGCTGCTTGTGTGTTGTGCCCATATTGGCTTAAGATAATATCTGAACACATGACATACTTGCTGAACAGGTTACCAAAGTGATTTCTATGCAGAAATTTGCCAATCAATTTTTCATTTAGTTAAATTAAAAATAAATAAAAGTTTAATCCAATCAATTTGTTGATGTCTTCAGTTTCTAACTCTGGTTTTGGAGTGGGCACAAATACAGTTGATCATCAATATGACAGAGAACAAACAATGTCCTCTGCAATTAGCAGAAAGGCTACAATTATTTCTGTAGCCTTGAAATTCCCTTTGGGGATTGCTATAGCCAATAACAAAATGAAAAACAGCATGTATAAAGGATGCTATAAAATGCATCTCCAAATACACCAGCATTTGGATAGCCAATTGACAAGGCATATTTTGCCTTTTTTCTTATTTATTCATTTATTTGTCTTCCAGACTATCAGCAAAGAGGGCAACCATTCAAACCCGGCTATGTTGTGATTGTGAACGTTCTCCTAATGGTAGAATAGCTGCAAATAGAGAACTGTCTGCAGCAAACTCATTAGCAACCAGAATGATGCTCTTAATGCTATTGCTGCTGCTCCCTGATATAGGATGCAAGGTTGGACATGCTCAATGTGGGACACAGCATGCTCAGATGATTGTTCCCAAGTACTATCAGTCAGGAGATTTCATCTACGGAGGCATTATTTATCAAACTGCCTTCTATATGAATCCATACAACTTCCATGAATATCCTTTTGGGCAACCTTTGAGGAAAATGTTTGTATAAGGATTTTTTGTTTTCACTACAATATGGAAGTGAACACCACACCTGTGATCCTCCTTGACAAGGTGCTTCACCTTATAGGGGCAATTGCTGTGACTTGATATACCAGCATGCCTTGGGGAAGCACATCATTCTGGTAAAAGGGATTGCAGTAGGTCAAATCCTTCCTGGGGAACTCCTCCCCTGAATATGTGCAGAAGCCTTTCTTACTCAGCGAAATGGTTTGTAAAGAGAAGCGGAGGACACCTCTGTTCATGTCTTCACTTTTAAAGGATGGTTTGATTCCATTCTTTTCCTTCTGATTTTGCTTGACATGGAAGAAAAACTATAGTCGAACACACCAACCTGACCCATTTTTTGCAAAAGAATGAATGGAGGTTAAAGCTGTTAAAGCTCATAATTTCTTTTTGAACAGAAGGATAGGTTAGATGAATCTCGGCCTCTAAAGAATGGGTAACTTAAAAAAACAGCAATGCAAACATATTTCTAAAAATTACATTTAGGCTATAAAAGAAAATTAACCAACCTGATGCTCTTCAGATGTTTTGGACATCAACCCCCACCTCCTGAGAATGACCACAAAACAAATGGAGAATAGCAAGTTGCCTATCTCTGGCTGAAAATATTATCTACTCTGCTTTTATGCTTATTGATTGCTTTATATTTTCATTTTCATTCCCTCCTGTTTTCAACTCTTCCTTCTCTGCCATATTGTAAGTCTGAAAAATAATCTTTGAAGTCCCTCTCCTTTACCAAACTGAATTTAAATTTTACAGTAACTATTTTCACCCCTTCCATTCCCCAACCCCCAAAGTATTTTGTTCTAAGATTATTTCAAACTATTTAAGTTCTAATGATTTTCCCTCTTCATAATCTGCATAGCCTAGAGAGCCACACACTTCCTGCTCTTTTCCAAACTCACTCTCATATTCTCATTCACGGATTACTAAAATATGTGTTAGGTCACAAGTATCTTCATGATGAAGGAACATGAATGGAATGAGGAAAGGAGTTCAGGAATTTGAAAGATCCTTTGCAATATAAATATGCATGTAATCTTAATAAATAAATACATGTTGCTTCCTTTAGAGATTGCAAGAGATATGTATGATCTAAGGCTGAACATTTCCTTTTCAGTGTAGTGACTGAGAACTACCAGCATATCTTGGCTTTGATATTTGCTGTGAGAGAGATCAATGAAAATGCCCGAATGTTACCCAATGTTACCCTGGGAATCAATATTTATGATAGTCACCTGAATATAAAGTGGACTTACCATGCAGCAATGCAGTTGATTTCTCCAAATAGCAAGCTTTTGCCCAACTATAAGTGCATAACTCGGGACAATCTTTTTGCAGTTATTGAGGAATTGGTCTCAGACATCATACATCAATTTCCAATTCTTATGAGTCTTTATAAAATTCCACAGGTAAGTTCCCCCTCCTACCCCTTGAAGTTTTTTTTTTTTTAAATGTGCTTGTGTTTACATGTGCTTGCTATTTTTATTTTTATTATTATGGATGGTTGCACAGTCAGGCAAATTCTTACAGTTTTCCAAACATTATTTCTTTGTTTTCAGTCTTTCTATATTTGCAATGGGTAAACAACTTTTCTTCCAGTAGTTATGCAGCTGCTGGCCCTGGTTACTCAGCCAACAGTCCTGAGTCGTGTAGCCCTCTTGTCACCAGATGTCCAGAACTAGACCACCTAGCATGGTCCTTGTTCACTGGGATGGTGACTGAACCAGTATAGGTTTCTGTAAATTACTCCTCATCATATTGCTTATAGGAGAGACACACTTTGTCTGGGTCCTCTGATGAGATCTGTCCAGTATGGTTGAACCTCTGGCATAGCTCTCATCTTCCTCGGAGGACACAAGTCCTACAACTACGTAAAGGTACTGCCTCAATGGGGCGGGAGTATTATTATGATTGGTCACACAGTCAGCCAGATGTTTAGACTGGATCTGGCATTTTTATCCACCCATCAAGTCCTTCCCAAGAACCTGGGATAGGTACATGTTGGATGGTGCTAAAGGTATCGTCGCAGGATGTAAGCTGTTCCAACTAAAGCTGCCTTTTGCAATTAACTGGTGGTGATTTTGTAAATGCTGATGGTGTTCAAGTGCTGCTCCAGATGTTGGTACTATTGGTACTATCTTTGCTTTCTTTTGCCACAATCATTCTATTTCTATTTGCAGGTCT